ATTAGCTGGTTTGTGATCATTCTGATGATTTTTCTTTTTTTTTTTGCCTAATATGAAAATATTAGAATAGTTGAAATATTTAGTTGTGACTAAATTCCAAATGATTAGAAATATTCAGAAATCATATTAATTTGTGATGCAATAGAGATTCTTTCCTTTAGACTTTGGGCTGATTTGTGTTGGATTGTGATAATCTGATAAACGCTAATTTAATTAAATTTAGCCTAATATCACTACAGGTTTATAGAAGTAGCGAAAAGCAGGTGGAGTCTTTATTCTCATCAAGTTAATTAATTAATGACTCCTAATGGCCTCGATTTTGAGCAGCTTGCACGTCAACAGCCACACATGTTTAAGACATTTCCACTCTCAGTCATTTGTCTGCTTATTTTCCTTCCTTCTGCTTTCGCTCCACATTCATCCTTTTCTCCCTGAACATCAGGGGCGTCTTTCTGCACAGTTAAGATTTTATTAAGCCTCGTTAAGAAGATCTGGACTAATTGTTTCTATTTGAAAGATGGAGTATCTGGAGGTGTACGCCGTGTTTCATCTTTTTCTGGGTCACTGCTCTCTCACTCTTCTCATTTCATCTCCTCCAGAGCGACACAGCTGCTCTACAAATCCAACCACTTTCCTCCCCTCATCCCCTCACGCTTTAATTCCCCCTCCTTACCCTCATCCAAACCCGCAGTCCTTTAGCTTAAGCCCCTGACTGTGGAAATATGTTGCTGTCAAGCTGTGGGGAGATATAAACCTGAACTTTACAATCTGCTCTTTTTTTCATGCATAAAGCTTTTCGCTCAATGACTCTAAGTTTGTGAAATAATCTCCCTGTTATACATCAGTGACGATGATTCCTGAGCTTTTTAGGTCTTTAAATCCTCCTTCAGATTAACACAACTCACAGACGGCACCCGTCAAAAAGAAAATCGCCTCATTATAAAGTTCATATTATCCAAATTCTATTCGGGACACTTTCACCTCATTTCACATATTTATTGATTTCAACAAACCGAGCATTTATGTTACTTCATGCATTCTAACACTTTCCTTTAGTCCCTGCTAGAATATTTTAGGAAGGTTAAATACTGATCGTACAAGGAAGGAAGGAAGGGAGGAAGGAAAGAAGGGAGGGAGGGAGGGAGGAAAAACAACCGATTTAAAGACGAGTTTACGAAGAAGGAAAGAAGAAAGGAAGGACAAAAAGGATGCTAACATAAGGAAGGGAATAAAGTTTGTAAAAGGAAATATATTTCTCTGTTATTTATTATTATTGTTATTCATTTTTTGATCCTAAAATATGATCAACTTCCAGCCTTTTCCAGACTTTTCCAGCCTTTTCCAGGCTGTCTATAGTATCTAATTAAGCAGCTTATAATAATACAATATTTTCAAATAAGGTCACCTTTTCACTATGACCAATTTGAAGCTGTCCAATAGGAAGCTTTGGGCGTGATGACCTCATCAGGTTTTTCCTCCCAGTCTGTGGAAAAATGTGGATGAAGGTGGTTTCTTTCCAGACTGCGGTTCACCTGATGATGTCATCATCTGGAAACATAACCTTAAACTCAGCAAAGTCATTGAAAACAGAAACTGTGTGAAAAGCCAAACATTTTGACCGATATCCTTCCCCGGGTAAATCTCTCGCTGCAGGCGGGTTTGTTGTGTTTTTTGTTGTTTTAATGACATGCTCTGTTTCTCTGATATTGTTCTCTTTTCTACTTCCTTTTCCAAACTTCCTATCTTCCGTCTGACTTCCTGAAATTATCTCTCCATCTCCTTGTTTCTGTCAAATGTCTCCTTTGGCTGCCTGCCTTTTTTTCCTGCCTCTTCTTCTATCCACTGCGTTTCTTTTGTCTTTACTGGGAGCCAGTGAAGGAAAGCTGGTGGTCCTGGCTTTGGCCATTGGTGTTGCAGAGCAAGATGACTTTGCCAATATCCCTGACCTGCAGGAAACGGCGCAGGCAGCACCAGCAGCCAATCAGGAGCCCCCTCCTGAGAAGAGGTACCAGCTACTGTATGAGAGTCTTTGTGAGTATGTGTGTGAGGAAAGTGCATGAAAGGGAAACGGGATTCGAATTATTCACTACCGATGAAGAGCAGAGCCTTTTTTTTTTTGATAAAGAAATTAGTTCAGACTATGCAAATGTAAAAAACAGAGGTGAGATCGCTAAGAGAGATAAAACGAGCTCATAAAGCATCAGAGTGCGATGCTCATTGGTTCTTCACTCCTTTATTACGCTTTTAGCTGCAGCATTTTCAACAATGAGATAAACTGTGTTTTCCCATGCCAGTGGACTTTTATTTGCCACCATCACCATAATCATTGTCTCCATCACAGTAACACCATTCACCATTCTCCTCACTATTTCCCTCAGCCTGCTTGTCTGAGGCCTCCTGCTGGTAATTGTCGTATTTCCTTTGCATTTTCATTCTTTTTATTATCCTAGCCCTTTTCATTCCCGTGTTCGTCTTTCTTCCTCGTGCTCATTAGCTTCCTTCAATCACCCTCCGCCGCTCTGAGAGTCTCGTCTCTGCAGAGGGCCCGGAGAGCCTCCTCATTATTCCACAACACGTTAGTCACTTACATAAACATGCAGCCAAAAATAGCCTCTTCCTCGTCAGCCAAGTTACACACTCCGAGTCCAAAATATTTCCACTCGTCTGTGAGGACGATCCAGCCCTGCTTCCTTGCTATCTCCTGAAATAATTAGCTCTGGATTCTCTAGTGGAATGGGACCAGTTTTAATAAACGACTTCAGCGTCATGTTAAGCAAATAGCTCAGGCCATTTTCTTTATCCGCTGATGTTCATCCAGATTATCAGGATTTTGCTCCACAGACCTAACAGTAAATCTTACCTAATCTAACCCTAACCCTAATTTGTAACTGCAATCAATTTAGATTAAATTACCTCCCCCCACGTTTCTTATGATTTAGTGACAGAACTCTATAAAAATGGTTGAAGAGTGTAAATAAATCCCAATTTACCTCTGACTACCTTTTTATTTAAGCCGGGCGTACTCTGTACGGTATTTTAAATCGTTGCACGCTGCTACAGCTCACATCGTACGATGAAACCGCAGGGTTTAAAAGTTCCCAGCTCACCATGTTTGTTCTCCCGCTGTGCGACCCGACGCTCTGATGCGATCTACCTGCTCACACTCTACGTCTAAAAACCAGGTGGGACTCAGCTCCGCAGTGAGATGGCGCCACTCGGACTCGTCTATCTGGAAGCCAAACCAGTAGCAGAGGAACATGAAGCTCACTAGAGTGAAACGCGCTGCCTTGGATATTTGGGTAATTTAGTGCTGAAAGCCCTAAAAAGAAAAGGAGACGACGTATTTGGACAAAGACATGGCTGAGCTAACGTGGCTACTACGGTCTGTCAGTTTGACAGAAAGAACTCCATTTCACTCATTGCCCCCCCGCCATGCTGCTGGGTTTTTATCTGAGAAGAAGAAGAAGAAGAATCCTTGTTTGCCCACTGAGTGATTTGCCCACGACCACCTAAAGACGGCCGACTGGATTTAAAACATGTTTGAGGTGGTGGAGATTCTCCGTCCTCCAGGTCAGAGTCGTTCCAAAAAAATAAATAAAATCAATCCTCTGGACTTTGTTTCCAAGTCTGAAGACGTTTCTCTTCCATCCAGGAAGATTTTTCAATTAGAAATGTCAGAAATAGGTTTGAGTTCCAGGTTTTATGCAGCAGCCTCATCTTTTGAAACAACTTTGATTTTCTCCTGACCTTATGATTCCTGATGGGGGGGGGGGTTGGTCTTTGGGGGTTGTTCCCCCCCCATAACCCCCGGTCAACAAAACAACCAACACCCAGCCGAAAAGCCACCCCAATCGAAAAAATCTAGAAGAATCAGCCGAAAAAGGACAGAAAAATCTTACAGCGTACGACCGGCTTAACAAACTCTGAATGTGGGATGAATTTTAACATAAAGACAGCAAATAATTTTGCTATTTAGAAGTCTTAAATATTTGATGTTGTTTTAAAGGTTAATTTTTTAATCCGACATTAGAGGGAAATTCAAGGACAGATCGTCTGAGCAGCTTTTATCTCCGTTTTTAGAACGCTGCTATAAAGGCAGCTTTTTATTTTCACTTGGCTTCAAACAGCTTTGTCCTTTTCAGCTTTTTTTTTTTGCATTTGGTGAAACCTTTACAAATGGGTTACAAAATCCACTAATTGACTAAAAAGCGAGTGGGAAGCAGTGTGTGGCCCCCAGGATCCACCCTGATGACTGAGGGCACTATGATATGTTCAGGATTAACCTGTGGTTCATATAATCTTTAGGACTTTAAATCAGAACGACTGTCAGTTTATGCCCACATTGAAAGCTTTGCATTGATCAACCTATCAGCCTTCAGTGAGGTCGACTAATTTCATTTGCTATTATTTCTTTTTTGTTCTCTGTCAAGGTTAGGAAATATATATATATATATTTTTTTATATAAAATGAACATTTGATATCTGGCTGCTTAGTTTTGAGGCTGAATCAAATATTTGCTGTCAGCAATTTATCAAAAATCTAAAGTATAAGCTTAAAGGGAATGTATGATCCCCTTGGCGTGTCTACGCTGCGTTCACAGGTGTCTATATAATCAATCAAACTCACAATACAACTTCTATTCTAAGGTGTTGCAGAAAACCACACTTTCATTTATGTTTCACCACCTTCCAACCCTGAACAGCTTTCAATCATGGATCATCACTCATCTCCTCATGCATTGCTTCTGTTACACTTCATGAAATCTCATTGTGTCTCTGGGAAACCATAGGTGGTTAAAAAAGATCTAAAAATAAGTAAATAGATATATACCTTTTATACTTTATACTGTCTTTAATATACCAACATTAATAAAACAAATACACAAAAACAAAACCTTAGAAAAGGGAAATGGAAACATTAAAACAGCGTTTTATGTTTCACAAAGTAAAACAACAAAACTTTTCTTTAATTGTTTATTTGTCTTTATTTTTTTCACTAAAACTGTATCATACATTAAAGGTATAGTTTAGATTGTTCAATTTCAATTCTATTCAGTCTATTTCTATAGCTCCAATTCACATCATGTCATCTCAGGTCACTTTATAGATCCAGATCAACCAGATCATCCAGTCAGATTGATTCAAAGTTTTCTATCTAAGGAAAACCAGCTGATTGCATCGACTCATTGACTCTTCAGCAATCCCTCACACTAAGCATGCTTGTAGCGACAGTGGAGAGGAAAAACTCCCTTTGAACAGGAAGAAACCTCCAGCAGAACCAGGCTCAGTGTGAGCGGCCATCTGCTGAGGCCCACTGGGGTTCAAGGAGACAGAAGCAGACATAGAAAAAGAAGCATAGATACAAAAGGCAACTGCCAACCAGCTCCACAGGCGGCCCCGTCCAGGAAACACACAGCCAGGCAGACGAGCTCCGAGCCAGCTCCCATGTCAGAGGATGAAGAGAGCACATCCAGTTAGTCACAGTCAGAGAAACAGGACTACACTGGAAAACAGGCCAAGCTCCAACATCTAGAAACAAAGGTGTTGATGGCAGCAGCACAGCTGATATTTCTCTCCAGGATGGAGTCACAGCCAAACAGGAACAGACCAGATGAAGCTACTATGAGAAAAAGCAGAGAGAGCAGAACGTTAGAGATTGAACTAACAGATTCTGCAGAGTGGGAGAATAGAGATAGAATGAAGCAGAATGATGAAAAAGGGGTCCCTATGTCCTCCAGCAGTCTAAGCCTATAGCAGCAGAACTATAGAGATAGATCAGGATAACCTGAGCCACTCTAACTAGAAGCTTTATCAAAGGAAAGTTTTAAGCCTAGCCAGATTGTTAAATCCAGGATGTTAGGAGATTCAGGGAACGTCACTGACAGTAAAATGAGCTGCGATTAATGTAAGACCTAAAAAGTCCATTTTAACAGTCAGGTTACACATGGTGCTGCTCTGTATCAATGTCAGAATTTCAGAGTTGATTTTACTGCAATTAGAGCTATAGAAATAAACTGAATAGAATTTAACTTAGATCTATCAAGGTTACACTAAATAATAAAAACAAATACAAACAATAAATGGAGTGACCTACCTGTATTGCAAGCTTACGTCAGAATGCTGCAATAATACAAAAATTAAAAAATACAATAATAATACAAAAAATGTAAATTAGATTTAATTCTGTAGTTGGTGCTGTATTTGATATCGCCCGCAGAGACCTCTTCTTCTTCTTATGGAGATTTCCTGCTGACTAGGTGCATCCTGGCTCTCTGCTGCCTCTATAGGCGAAACACAAAATTACCGGCAGAGGCGTTTCCAGCGTAGAGAACTTTTATGACTCAAAAATACACTAACAGCCTTTGGAGATATCTTTCACCCCAGAATCCTCTTTCCTGCTTTTAAGAAAGGTAACAAAGTATTTGTACTTTAATTGGCACCTCTGTGCACCGCAACATAAACATAAAGCCTCTTGATGATTCTATTGACACGATAAAACAAAATCCATACAGACAAGTTAAAAGATTCCCCTAAACAAACGCACTTTAAATTGCTACTTATATATCTAATGCTATACATATATCTAATGATATGTATGTAATTGTAATAAAATTATCAATTTGGGTCTTTTACTGTGAAGTATTTTGACAGTGTTGATGCACTGATTTCCATTAGCTTGGAAATGATTCCTCCATGTCTGCTGCTCTTTACTCCCATTATCTAATCATACTGGAGGCCCAAATAATGACAGCTCTGTTAATATTTCTGAGCTCCATGTTTATGGTTAAAAGCAATCCAGATAAATGCAAAGGTGTTGGATGTGCGATATTCATTATTCATGGGCCTCATGTGTGCCGTAGCCGGGAGGAAGCACTCTCACTGCTGGTGCGTTTCTGAAGTGCATCACAGCCGACTGACGGCTTGAACTGCTGCTCCTCTGATGAAGTCTTTCTGACCAGTGACAGCGAGGAAAGGTTGTATGATGAGACGTTAACCTACCAGGCA